AGTCAAAGAAAGGGAAGAGAGGAGGCAGCTCTAGACCAGGAAAGAAGGCTGAACCAAATGCTGAGATGGAGAGAGAGGATGAACAACTTAGTGAAAAAAAGAAAATTGAAATAATGGTGCAGTGGGCATTAAATGGGTTTGAGCCAAGTGGCCCTGAAGGGTTTGCACCAAGTGAAGGTAAATCAGAACTACTAATGACTGTGTTTACATGGTCAGACATTACCTCCTCTGATGTCTACTGTCATGTTTCTAATCACAGTTATTAACAATGGAAAGTATTGAGTAGTCTTGTTTTGTGAAAGTAAGGTTGTTAAATCATTTAGGCACACTGGAGAAGCTGGATTTGAAATCTGGATGCCATAGGCAACAAATCATTCATTGTTCCTCTTAACAGTCTAAACACATTCATCATGTCCTGTATTTAACTATAGTGAGTTTGCATTCTACTCATTATGTCTAAGACATGTTTTTTAACTTTGCTGTATCAATCTCATTCTTTTAGAGCATTGGCCATTCTTTGAGATCATGAAATCAGTAGTTAGCCTTTTACACTTCAAACCTTTTTAAGTGCATTCTATGGAGCACTGATTCTCAGTCAATGGCATGTAACCTTTCAACTAAAAAGTTCTGTTGTATGCACAAATTCTATGACAGAAAATTAACCTTTAGTATATTCTTAAACCAGGTGATTTCTTAAAGTTTGGATTTGTATAAATGCTTGAGATGAAGAGGGAATAATTGCTTGATTTTCTTCTAGAGCAAATTGTTTCCTAGTCATAATTCAGTTAACAGTGTTGCTGGGTATTTTGCATGCTTCTGTTGTACTAGTTAGATTAGTTAATAGTAGGTAAATGATGTTACAATCAGAGATATCAAGGATTAAAATGGTGTGACAATTCATGTTTGAAAATTTATTGAACAGAATTGTATCTGTCACTGAAAGTAGTATTTCTCAACCCCTAGAGGATATGGTAGACACTCCAGTACCACTAAATGAAATGGATCTGACGTCAGAGGAAATGACTGCTGATCAAAAGGCACGCTTTGGTAAACCAATCAATGAACCAAACCTGGCAGAAAATATCAAAGGTAAAAATTTTCCTTTCCTCAAATGACTTAGTCAATCATGTGAATAATAGTCTTTTTCGCAGGTGGTGTTGACCAAGTGGCTTCATCCAAGTGTATTGTAAATACACCAGCAAAAGTAATTGTGATTTTTTTGCAGGCTAACTGGCTCTTCACAGACATGCAATAAACTTTTAATTATCTCTTTTTTTAGAGCTTTACTTTTTCTTAACATTGAGAGTGTTGCTCAGGTTTAAATACAGCTTGCACATGTCAGGAATAATTGAATCGTTTTAATTTGAGACCATGATATTACATAAACAACCTTTATTTTTTCACTGATTGAATCTGATCAACCATGGTCCTTGTTACATGCATTCACCATGATAGAAAAAAATATAAGTGCTAGAAAGCAACATCATGAAAATTGTATTTTATGAATTCTGGATTATTAAAATGTATGTATAAATTTTTTAGCTCTGTTTGATGCAGTAGCAGATGGAAAAAAGAAAATTTCAGGTTAGAGTGTTGCCTAATTTGAAACTAATTTTCTTTGCTAAGGTTTGTTCAGTAGTAAAAGATGTTGACAACAATTGGGAAAAACAAATTGTCAACAGTGGGTCAGCAAGTCAAGGATTTATTCAGTGATGATGGTGGTGGATAATCTATCAGATGTCAGTCACAGTGAGCTAGTCAGGCAGTCAATTCGAAGTAATTTGTCAACCAGCTGGTCAGTCAGCCTATCATGGCTTCTGTTAGTCAGTCAGTCAGTCAGTTGGTCAGTTAGTTAGTTAGTGGTGGTAAGTTTCTAAAGAAACCATGGTGCTGTGTCGGTGGGAGAGTATAACAGGATAATTTAGGGTTATCAACTAAGTTGATAACATAAATTGGCCACCTTAAAGAGTTTAAAGGCTGATGTTTTGAGTGCTGTTAGCCCTTTGTCAAGGCAATTGCTCTGATGAAGGGCTAATGCTTGAAACATCAGCCTTTAAACTCTTTAATGTGGCCAATTTATGTTATCAACTCAGTTGATAACACTAAATTACCCAGTCAGTTAGTTAGTCAGTCAGTCAGTTAGTCAGTCAGTCAATCATTCAGTCAGTCAGTCAGTCAGTCAGTCAATCAGTCATACAGTCAGTCAGTTAGTCAGTCAGTCAGTTAGTCAGTCAGTCAGTCAATCATTCAGTCAGTCAGTTAGTCAGTCAGTCAGTCAGTCATACAGTCAGTCAGTCAGTCAGTCAGTCAATCAGTCATACAGTCAGTTAGTCAGTCAGTCAATCAGTCATACAGTCAGTCAGTCAGTCAGTCAATCAGTCATACAGTCAGTTAGTCAGTCAGTCAGTCAGTCAATCAGTCATACAGTCAGTCAGTCAGTCAGTCAATCAGTCATACAGTCAGTCAGTCAGTCAGTCAGTCAGTCAGTCAATCAGTCATACAGTCAGTTAGTCAGTCAGTCAGTCAGTCAGTCAATCAGTCATACAGTCAGTCAGTCAGTCAGTCAATCATTCAGTCGGTCAGTTAGTCAGTCAGTCAGTCAGTCAATCATTCAGTCAGTTAGTCAGTCAGTCAGTCAGTCAGTCAGTCAGTCAGTCAGTCAGTCAGTCAGTCAGTTAGTCAGTCAGTCAGTCAGTCAGTCAGTCAGTCAGTCAGTCAGTTAGTCAGTCAGTCAGTCAGTCAATCAGTCATACAGTCAGTCAGTCAGTTGGTTCACAGCTCTGCAGTCAATCAGTCAGTCATCATACTCTCAGTCAGTCAATCATTCAGTAATAAGTCATTCAGTAAGTTTGGTAGTGATCCATTTTAAGCTAGACAGTTCATCACCTTTTTTTAAGTTACGAAATGGTATTTTCTTTGTGTTGCTGTTGTCTAGGTATCTGTCTTGCATGTGGTGATGATAGAGTTTTCACTGAACATCCATTGTTTGAGGGAGGTCTGTGTAAAGAATGTAAGGTACCACAAACTTTTTAAATGATAATTATAACCTACTTTAATATTTAAGTGTGTAATTTCATGTATATCATGTGTTGAGGACTTGTGGTGATTTTAAAATGAATCCTAATTATGTCTTTTAGACTTCTTTCTTGGAAAATGTTTATCTATATGATGAAGATGGTTCTCAGGTAAGTAAAGTGTGTACTGATGGCTTAATTTATTCTTTATTTTATGATTACGTAGTTGTCACCCTTTTAAACTCTAAAAATAACTTTAAAGGTTGGATGCATTTAATTGGAAAATATCAGACTTTTCTGCTGACCTGCTTAATTATTCTCAGATGTAGTTCATGACATTTTCTGTGGTTAAAAGTTATTGTCATATCTTGTGAAACATGTCAGTATAGTTGATTACAGGCTACAAAGCAGTTTTTTGAGTGTTAACCATCTTGTGGAGCTACAGAGGGCAAGATGAAGGGTTAAGAGTCAAAAAATTACTTTTCCAGAATTTTTCTACTGTCAGTTGAACTACCTTTTTCAACTGCTTGTCAATAATTCACTTTCCCAACAATGTACATAGCACATTACCTTTAAAAGAACTGAATTATTAGTTAACATTACTTTGCTCATTAACCTTGCACTTTGATGTCAGATGTATTGCACAATCTGTGGAGATGGCAAGGAAGTTTTCATGTGTGATAACACTGGCTGCTTTAGGTAAAAGTTTGTACAAATCGTGGGCAGTATTCTTGAGACATTTCTTGAATAATGAGAGCAAGTTACATCGTAACAGGGAGGAAGGGAATCACTTAGCCCCCGCAGGCTCCTCATTATGTATTGCCTCTTGCCTGTGTGTGGATGAAAGACACAGTTAATGTGGGTTGAAGGGATGATTTACACTAGCAAGGACTAAATCAAAATACATCTTAAGTTGAATTGAATACAGGTGTAACTTGAAGACTCTTTTTCAAGACTCATAACTTTCCAGCCTCATTAAACCGATAATTTATATTAATTAGTAAATTATAATAATTTAGTATTAGCAACTGAGTTGATAACGTAAATAGGCCATCGTAAAGAGTTTCAAAGCTGACGTCTCGAGCGGTAGCCACTCGCTCTGGTTAGGGGCTAATGCTCGAAACGTCAGCTCAAAACTCTTTACGGTGGCCAATTTACGTTATCGACTCAGTTGATAATACTAAATTACCCTGTTGTACTCAGTCTCCCACGGACGCAGCACCACAGTTTCCCTAGAAACTTACCCCCGTTTGTATTTGTAAAATTAGTTGTTTCACAAACTAGACTTCGGTCACTTGACTAACAAACAACTCACCACCGTCCTGAAGAGCTACCCTCACTTGTATGATTAGATCACTTGATTATAAATTTACTCAATTGACTTTTTCAGGTCATACTGTAGTCTCTGTATAGGGATGTTATGTGGTAGAAGTGCAGTCAAAGAGGTAAGTGAATTTAAGCACTGTAATTTGCGGACGATTACCCATGAGAAATCTGTTCATTTTATCAGTAAACAACTACTTTTGCTATGAGTAATACTAAGGCACTGGTTTATGTGACAATATTACATGACAATCTACCTTTTGTTCACTTGCTTTTTGCTTTCTATGCGTCAAAAAATTACCACATGCATTACGACTAATATACTCTCTTTTATGTATAAGCACTTTTCGTATAGCTTGTAAGCAAGCCCTGAGTATAAGTACTGCGGCGATAACAAATAGTAAAAATAAATTGTCCAGAAATGGTTCAAAAAATGTCTGAAGAAATGGTCCAAAAAATGGTCCAAAAATGGTCCAAGGTTCCATTGGTCCAGTTCAATTTCATCCATTACTATGTAATATGTAATCGAGCAGCATGCTCGAGGGACTAAAATAGACGATTCCATGATCCGAAACTGGCGAAAAAAAAAAGATGCTGTGGCAAAACAACCAAAAGGTCAGCGTACGGGAATCGTAAAATTTCCCGCATTGGAAACGACCTTAAAGGGCATGTAAACCCAAAAATACATGTTTTTCTTATACTATGTAAAAAGTGGCGTAGAAAACGAATTTGAAATTAGTTTTGTCCAATTCGACTTATTTTAGGAGAAAATCGGCATTTTCAACTGAAATTCCATTTCCGGTAAAAACAATAGCGAGAAGTCGTGACGTAAGCGGTGGAACCAAAATATTGCGCAACACATATTCCCCAGTAGAACTGGTGTGGGAGTTCGTGTAAGTAGCGGTAGTTCTGAAGATGTTTTTTCAGAAGATAGCGACTCGAATGTCTTAAGCTTAGTAAATGACAGCGCTGGGGATAATCCAGAATCTTCAGGAGAGTCTGGGCCACGTCCTTAACAATATGAGCCGCGTAGGGTTCACCGAAGCGATCCGCACGAAGACAGTACAGAACATGTCGACAGCGATGCGACCGTCTCGGAAACTCAGACTGGTATTTAATTTACTTTGTGATTTATTTGTATTTAACATGAAAATGCAATAAAGCGAGGGTACAATCAAAAGGAATCCAACGAATTTTTTTAAACTTGAGCTTCTGAGAGTGTTTTATATAAAATTATCAAAGGTGCGAGTGTGGAACTTGTCAACCAATGCCGACAACTCATGAAAGTGATTGTTGTACGGAAATCGGGCAATTGTGGCAAAATGGCCTGAAACCCAGATAAGTTGTATCACTGAGCATCCAGGTTTTCAGTCAATTTGCCTTGATTTCTGGGTGCTGGAGACGGCCAATTACGCGTACAGGCAGCAGCAAAGCACAGATAATCACACCGGAAACGACTAAGCTAAATATTTTCTGTTTCATCTGTTTTGTTACATTTTGAGATCGATTTACTTGAGTTGTTTCTGCCATTGATTTAATAATACAGTACTAGAGCTAGTTGTTTTTCGCTTCTTTCCTGGCAGGAAATTTCGCTAAATTGCCTACAGATAGCTTGTTCGTTGGTGTTGGGGATATCTCGGCAAACACTTTAGGGTCGCTGTGCTATCTTGTGCGGTAAACAATATCCTTCATCTCAGAAGCATTTCCATCGATAAACAAGTTGTATCATGTACATTTCCTTTTGTGGCCTTCATAATTATCCAACCCTGTTTGTGTTTGCTTCGATTTGAAATATTGAAAAGATAGTTTTGCAAGCTGAAATCAGGATCTTTTAAGTTGTACTCAAAATGATGAATTTTGTCCTACTGACCTTTGAATGTATTTTCACTGCTGTGAAAACCGTGACACAAATTCTTCTGCTGTTTCTCTGCAGGGTTTCTCAAAGGAAGCACCAAGCGGGGCTGGCTTGGATTTTCTTATAGAACATAAGGGTTGATTATGGGATCCTGCATAGAATTCTTTGTATCGAACCGACAAAATTCCGGATCACGTTATTACACACTGATATCAACGAATTCTCTTTCTTTGATACGTGTTTCGAATTCAGGCGAAGGTTCAGACATGTCAGTGTCTTTTACGGGCTCAGCGCTGGCTCCCGAACAACTGGCTTCCCTATAATCTTTCATTAAATGAGAAAAAAGATGTTTTTAGAGAACCAATAGCTTTTGTTGTTTAATTAACGAAACGTTTTCATGTAAATCGATTTTGTACTTTCTCTGTTGACCTCTAACTTTTGAAGAGCTCAACTTCTTTCTCAGTTCGGTCGGCCACTTTCGAATCCTCGTCGTCTGCCGACTGTATGGGTCGTTTTTATACTTCCGAATAATTTGCTTCTGGTGAGGCCTGAATCGTCGGTACAGCATCAGGAAGAAAAATGACTGCTACAAACAACAGAACGTTCGAACGGCTCGACGAAATCGGCTATTTCACTTGAACAAATTTCACAAATTGTCGCTTCAAATTTGCGTCATTTGGAAATATTTGCATTGTATGCCCAGTTTTGTTTGAATCAGTACAAAACTGGACGACACAACGCTTTACCATTACGAAAAAATTGAATATATTGAAGCAAAATGTAAGTAAAAAAATCATGACGAGACCAGCAAACAACGGCTGTAGAAAAGACTCCTTCGTGCCTCACGCGATTATAAAACGAGACTTTGGAGGGTCCACCCGTGACGTCACAGGAAAGATGGCGCCATTCAAGATGGCGAATGTTTCGAATTTGGAAGAGCTTTTACAAAGTGAAAATGGACTTTTGAGAATAAACGAATGGTACCTTTGGTGTACTTGATATATTTACTAAACATCTATGTGAAAAGAAAATGAACGTTTTTTGGGTTTACATGCCCTTTAACAGAGTGGATTGTCAATCAGAGAGAATGTGGTCAGAGCTGGTATATCAGATTTGACAGTCAGAGCGTGAGGAAGACCCTGCGGTACTATTATTGACCAAAACTATAACAAAATTCTCGAACGTGATTGGTCGTCACAAGCCCGATTTGAGCAGTGTGCGTGATGTGCGCGCGTTTTTGTCACACATTTCGCCGAGTTCACTGTTGCTGTTTTTTTGTGAAAACGTATGACCGATGTCTAGTTTCGTTCTCAAATTTTGACACAGTGTTGATGAATTGGTAACAGAACTTCGTTTCGTCCAATTCTGTCACTCTGTAATCACGCTCGTGATTAACAAATCGGTCTCCCCATCAGCAGTCGTCCGATTTTTTTTTTAATCACTCGTAGGATAGCAGACCGAATTGGACTCCGCTCAGTCCTATAACCAGACCGTGGTCTTGTTAATGCCGTAGTGTTTTTAGACCTCAAAAAGGCATTTGATACAGTAGATCACGATATTTTGCTACGAAAATTGCAATACTATGGGATTTGTTGGACCAGTCATCAATGGTTTGCTTCTTATTTAGATAATCGAACACAGATTTGCCATGTAAATTCTTGTAAGTCAACTCCGAAATATCTAAGATGTTCTGTTTTTAATATATATTAATGACTTACCACATTGTCTGACATATTCGGAACCCAGAATGTACGCAGATGATACCAGCCTGACGCTAGCCAGTACTGACTTTGATCATATAAATTATTGCCTTAATTACGATCTGAGTAAAGTGTACGAATGGCTGAGTGCTAACAAGCTTACCCTAAATATGACAAAAACTGAGTTTATGCTTATTGCATCAAGGCAGAAGTTATCACAATTTACGGAAAGTCCTTCTCTTACTATAAACGAAATCGCAATAGAAGAAGTAACCTCCGCTAAGTCCCTTGGAGTTTATGTCGATCAAAATATCAACTGGGAGTGTCATATTGAAAACATCTCTAAGAAGATAGCTTGTGCCATTGGTGCAATTAAACGAATTCGGCACCTCACTCCATTTAATGTTCTAATTAAAGTTTATAATAGCCTTGTTCAACCACATTTTGATTATTGTAATGTAGTGTGGGGAAACTGTAACAAGGGCCTTTCTGAAAAACTGCAAAGGCTTCAAAATCGGGCAGCTCGCATCCTAATGTCTGCGAGCTATGATAGTAATTTAGATGATTTGTTCCGGGCACTAGGGTGGCGAAGACTCTACTATCAAAGATTGGAACAAAAATCTATCTTAATGTATAAAACTTTACAGGGTATGACACCAGATTATCTGAGATCAAGATTTGTATATCGTGACAATATAAGTGCTTATCGTTTAAGGAATACGGAAAACAAATTAGTTCTTCCACAACCTCGAACTGATTATCTTAAGAGAAGTTTTTTGTACAGCGGAGCTCACTTGTGGAACGACTTACCCTTAGACCTAAGACAAGCGTCTTCACTGACCGATTTCAAATCTAAATTAAGTCGCCACAGTTTAAAGTAATATCTTAATTTTAAGTAAATTTTAGACACGGCCTCCATGAAAAGCAGATTTTTTTTTATTTGTTTCTTTTATTTGAATTGTTATTATTAGATTTTATTATAGTTAGGAAGATAGATATACCTTTATAGATAATTAACAACTGATGGAAATACCGTGTATAAATAAAGTTATCTTATCTTATCTTATCTTACCATTATAAATATGGACATCTGTTGAGTTGAATGTTTTCTTTATATTCCCTGACAATGCCGTAGAACGGCGAAAGCTTAGAATAAAAAAGAAATACTGTAGTTTAGTCCTCAGTTGACTCGTCCATCAAATCATCAACACGTTACTGAAGGACAACGTGAAACGATTACAAGAAATATGGTTTGTTACTCTGTCGAGAAAAAAAAAACCGTCAGTTGCAGAAACACCCAACTACACACAGTTACGAAAATTAATTTATGGTGTTGTGGTTTGCTTGCATGTCTTGATCATTCCAGACATTTAAGATGTTCATAGTTTTGTGAGTTAATTCTAATCACAGTCCAATCTCACTTAGATTTTAAAAACTGTGTTCTTTCTTCTTGTGTAGATTGCCGCAGCTGACAATTGGGTGTGTTACATGTGTTCAGGAGGGTGTCAAGGACTTATCAGGCCCCGACACAACTGGTCTGCTAAACTGCAAGAGTTCTTTATGAACGACAAAGAGCAAGATTTTGTAAGAAACCTTTCGTAGGTCTAGTAAAAGATTTACTTTGTGAAGTTCACTGGAGTGGTGTTAAGTATTTTATGATTAAGAACGAGTCGTTATTTATTGCCCGGAGTTCGGGGGGGGGGGGGGGATTGCGTGGTTTTTATTAGGAATCGAGAGGGGATCAGTCGTGGCCATCAGTGTATAAAGGGGAGACTACAAAAAAGTGACTGCGAATGAACTTCTAATGAGATGGGGATCTTAAAAATGTTACAGAACCTCATGGGGGGGGGTGGGTCAGGGAAATCTTATCGTGACACAAGCAAAACCCTCCACCCCACCCTTCTGAGCGATCAATAATGATTGTTACCTTGATGAAAGTAACGTGTATTATACTTGACCAAAACCGCGCAGGGAGGCGCAAAGGCTGATTGGATCTTGCAAATGGTGTTAAGAAATTCGGAACTGAAAAAATCGAGACCTCGATCTAAGTAGTTTTTATTTTAGCACCTGGTCGCAACGAGTTATGAGGCATTGCTTTTTCTAAAAAGTCAGTCAGGAGGATGGAAAGAATCACCTTTTCTTTGTTCACCCATTTTTATGCGTCGATCGATTTCAAGCTTCAACGTTTCGCGTAGTCCATGTGGGTCAATGGGTAGAAATCACGGAGGCTGATTTTGCCTTTAACGAAATTACTGACCATCAAATCTGGCATTTGGCAAGGGCATTTGAACACAATTTAAGGCCAGGGATTGGGGAGGATTTGAACGAACCATTCTTCAAAAAGTTTAAATACCTGGGGGGAGATGTTGAAACTTTGAATTGATCAGCGCATTAATGACTGCTGTGTGAGTTAGGTTTAACTATTGACCCATTATTTGTGAATAATATTCTTCCTCTTTTTGCAGAAACAGCCATATATTTTCCCAGCAGTTCCCCCGGAAGAGCGCAGACCAATTCGAGTCTTGTCGCTGTTTGATGGAATAGCTTCTGGTTAGTATTCCACGTAACTAAATATGAACAATGGATTGCATCATTTTTTGCCCGCTATGCCCTGTGATTGGCTGGAAATCTCACTTCCAGCTCCCCTCTCAACCTGTCAGATATAACATTCCCATTGCGACATGCTGACTTGCACCCGCGACATGGTGATGACTTGGATCATGAGCGATTCTCTCAAAAATTTCTCCTATGTGTTGGAAGTTTATCCTGTCTAATTTAAACCGGTTTTTTCTTTTACTCATGTACAGTGTGTGTTCAATACTGCGAATACTTATAGTTTTACAAAGCGTTTTGTCTTTTTCCGCCCATTGTCCCTCTACAAAGACGACAAACTGAAGAATCACGGTCTTTCTGATTTTTCAAATGAGAGTCTGACACACCTTCAACAAACCACTTGTCCTTAACCTTTAAACTCACGAGATACGAATTATAACTTTCCCTTTTCAGCTTTTATACAATTCCTTGTATTTTAGTTAAGAGAATTTGGTATCATATCAAGATAACAACCTTGAGCTGATAAGTTTCTCTCTTCTCATTGTCATCGTATGGAGAAGTTGCGTATTAATCACGTCAGAAGATCAGAGTGTTGAGAGCATCAATGTATTGATTTTATTCGCTCTTACAGGTTTCCAAGCCTTGAAAGAACTTGGTGTTGAAATCGAAGTGTACTACGCATCTGAAATCGATGAACAAGCCATACAGGTTGGTAAGAACGAACTCTACATAACCAGCCATTTTGCTTAATGTTTGCTCATGTTTTCACGGCAGAGAAGGGGTACATGAAGAGAAAACCTCACAAACAACGCGGTGGAAATTTCTGTAACAGTCGATGATCAATGTGCTAAAATGCTCTCACGAGTCTTCTTCTCTGAAATTACCTTTCTATTTGGTTCTGTTTTATTAATGTTCAG